CCCACTGACCCCCCAAGTAAGGAGCCATTCTTCCCACTGAACCCCAATGTAAGGGACATTCTTCCCACTGACCCCCATTGTAAGGGAGCATTCTTCCCACTGAACCCCAATGTAAGGGACATTCTTCCCACTGACCCCCAAATGTAAGGGACATTTTCCCACTGACCCCCAATGTAAGGGAGCATTCTTCCCACTGACCCCCAATGTAAGGGGGACATTCTTCCCACTGACCCCCAATGTAAGGACATTCTTCCCACTGGACCCCCAATGTAAGGGACATTCTTCCCACTGACCCCAATGTAAGGGACATTCTTCCCACTCCACAATGTAAGGGACATTCTTCCACTGACCCCCAATGTAAGGGACATTCTTCCCACTGATCACCAATGTAAGGGGACATTCTTCCCACTGACCCCCAATGTAAGGGACATTCTTCCCACTGACCCCCCAGTGTAAGGGACATTCTTCCCACTGGACCCCAATGTAAGGGACATTCTTCCCACTGACCCCCAATGTAAGGGACATTCTTCCCACTGATCACCAATGTAAGGAACATTCTTCCCACTGACCTCCAATGTAAGGGACATTCTTCCCACTGACCCCCAGTGTAAGGGACATTCTTCCCACTGACCCCCAATGTATAAGGGACATTCTTCCCACTGACCCCCAATGTAAGGGACATTCTTCCCACTGATCCCAATGTAAGGGACATTCTTCCCACTGACCCCCAATGTAAGGGGCATTCTTCCCACTGATCACCAATGTAAGGGACATTCTTCCCACTGATCACCAATGTAAGGGACATTCTTCCCACTGACCCCAATGTAAGGGACATTCTTCCCACTGATCCCCAATGTAAGGGACATTCTTCCCACTGATCACCAATGTAAGGGACATTCTTCCCACTGACCCCCAATCTAAGGGACATTCTTCCCACTGACCCCCAATGTAAGGGACATTCTTCCCACTGATCACCAATGTAAGGGACATTCTTCCCACTGACACCAAATGTAAGGGACATTCTTCCCACTGACCACCAATGTAAGGGACATTCTTCTTCCCACTGACCCCCAATGTAAGGGACATTCTTCCCACTGACCACCAATGTAAGGGACATTCTTCCCACTGACCCCCAATGTAAGGGACATTCTTCCCACTGACCACCAATGTAAGGGACATTCTTCCCACTGACCCCCCAATGTAAGGGACATTCTTCCCACTGACCCCCAATGTAAGGGACATTCTTCCCACTGACCCCCCATGTAAGGGACATTCTATTCAGTGACCATAAGCTGTAAATATAATGGGCTCCCTGGGAATGGAAAGTTATTTCAAGGGTTCCTCCATGTTACAGGTTTGAGAAAAGGCTGAAACAGATAATATTGCACTTTGGTTCTACATATTGAATTGTTAAAAAAACTTAAAGTGAAACTGAAAGTTTCCAATAAAATATCTATAATAACCAGAGTATCTAATTAAACAAAAACCCTCTAATGTTCAATACAAAAAAAGGCTAAATAAGTCAACGAATATTGATTACAAGATAGTGCCTATATCTGAGTCTCCATGGAGACCCATTGGAGCCACTGTGTTCCATCAACAGATCCAAAGCTTCTTGCTTGCCAAGTTGATGAAACCCCTCAGCTACAGGAAGACTGGAGAAAATGTGCTGTGTAATGATGGGGAAGTATGGGGGAGGGGGTGCTGTGTAATGGTGGGGAAGTACGGGGGAGGGGGGGTGCTGTGTAATGATGGACAAGTATGGGGGGGAGGGGGTGTGCTGTGTAATGATGGGCAAGTATGGGGGAGGGGGTGTGCTGTCTAATGATGGGCAAGTATGGGGGAGGGGGGTGCTGTGTAATGATGGGCAAGTACGGGGGAGGGGGTGCTATGTAATGATGGGGAAGTACGGGGGAGGGGGGTAGGTGGTGTGCTGTGTAATGATGGGCAAGTATGGGGGAGGGGGTGCTGTGTAATGATGGGCAAGTATGGGGGAGGGGGTGCTGTGTAATGATGGGCAAGTATGGGGGAGGGGGTGCTGTGTAATGATGGGCAAGTATGGGGGAGGGGTGCTGTGTAATGGGGAAATATGAGAGAGAGGGGGGTGCTGTGTAATGATGGGGAAGTACGGGGAGGGGGTGCTGTGTAATGGGGAAGTATGAGGGAGGGGGGTGCTCTGTAATGATGAGCAAGTATGGGGGAGGGGGTGCTATGTAATGATGGGCAAGTATGGGGAGGGGGTGCTGTGTAATGATGGGCAAGTATGGGGGAGGGGGTGCTGTGTAATGATGGGCAAGTATGGGGGAGGGGTACTGTGTAATGATGGGTGTATTATTGGGGAGGGGGTGCTGTGTAATGGGGAAGTATGGGGGAGGGGGGTGCTGTGTAAGGATGAGAAAGTATGGGGAGGGGGTGCTGTGTAATGGGGAAGTATGGGGGAGGGGGTGTTGTGTAATGGGGAAGTATGGGGGAGGGGTGCTGTGTAATGATGGGTGTATTTTTGGGGAGAGGGTCCTGTGTAATGATGGGGAAGTATGTGGGAGAGGGTGATGTGTAATGGGGAAGAATTAGGGGGAGGGGGGTGCTGTGTAATGATGGGGAAGTATGTGTGGGAGGGGGGTGCTGTGTAATGGGGAAGTATGGGGGGAGGGGGGTGCTGTGTAAGGGGGAAGTATGGGGGAGGGGGTGCTGTGTAAGGGGGAAGTATGGGGGAGGGGTGCTGTGTAATGATGGGGAAGTATGGGGGAGGGGGAGCTGTGTAATGATGGGGAAGTATGTGGGAGGGGGGTGGTGCTGTGTACTAAGGAAGTATGAGGGAGGGGGGTGCTGTGTAATGATGGGGAAGTATGGGGGAGGGGGGGTGCTGTGTAATGGGGAAGTATGGGGAGGGGGTGCTGTGTAATGATGGGGAAGTATGAGAGAGGGGAGTGCTATGTAATGGGGAAGTATGGAGGAGGGGGGGGGTGCTGTGTAATGATTGGTGTATTATTGGGGGGGGTCCTGTGTAATGATGGGGAAGTATGGGGGAGGGGGTGCTGTGTAATGATGGGGAACTATGGGAGAAAGAGGGTTCTGTGTAATGATTGGTGTATTATTGGGGGGGGGGGGGGTCCTGTGTAATGATGGGGAAGTATGGGGAGGGGGGTCCTGTGTAATGATGGGGAAGTATGGGAGAGGGGGGTGCTGTGTAATGATTGGTGTATTATTGGGAAGGGGGGTCCTGTGTAATTATTGGTGTATTATTGGGGGGTCCTGTGTAATGATGGGGACGGGGGTGGCAAAAATGCATGAGGGAGGTGAAGAAAATATTTTCCCAGGGTCCAATCAATATTAAGGACGGCCCTGCTGGGCATTCATGGGAGTTAATTGGACAATAAAGAACAAGCAGCTTCCAACACATTGATACACGGCAGCATCAGCCAGAAGGGAGTGCTGAGGCAATAGACTTTGTGTTCAGAATCTACAAAGACCTTTATTGAGCCGGAAAGTGTCATGTCTGGAGAATAGTGGAGGAGTACACATCTGTCACACCGGGTGACCTACACCGACACACAGAGGAACGCGTCATACATGTCATACGTGTCATACAATGGTCATAGATTTTACTATGAGGGAGTCACATTCATATAAAGTGATTTACACCGATCTATAGGAAGATGTCAATCAATTTAACACCAAACACACCTCTAGGCTACAATATGCAGCAGGCTAATGGGATGGTGGAGATGGAGCTGGAGAGGGGGCTTCTCTTGTCCAACACCCATGGTAGGATGGCATAAGGGCCGATGTAGGGGGCATCACCAGCTGTTGGTTTCAGGATTCAGATGACTCTGACTCAATAAATGAGGACCAGAGACTGGAGAACGGTGACATCTGATCAGCAGACAGGAGCAAAGCCAGGACACAAGCCAAAAGGTCATCAGCAGCTGGACAGCGAGGTCCGGGAACATCAGAGGCAGAACCAGGATACAAGCCGGGGTCACAACAGGTAAGCCGGAATACAAAGACAGGTGAGAGACAAGCCAGGTACTTCACCAGAAGGGAAATACAGCAGGTCAGGTCAGGTCAGGTCACAGATAATCAGGAATTAGCTGAAGACCAATCTGTTCGTGTCCCGAACCAGCTTAAATAGGCCATTTGGCGCCAATGCTGAGTGTGCATACTGTACGTTGTATCCTTTGTGCTGAGTTGTATCATCTGATGGTCTACATTGTATTGTCTGATGGTCTACATTGTATTGTCTAATGGTCTACATTGTATTGTCTGATGGTCTACATTGTATTGTCTGATGGTCTACATTGTATCATCTGATGGTCTACATTGTATCATCTGATGGTCTACATTGTATCATCTGATGGTCTACATTGTATCATCTGATGGTCTAAATTGTATCATCTGATGGTCTACATTGTATTGTCTGATGGTCTACATTGTATCATCTAATGGTCTACATTATGTCATCTGATGGTCTACATTGTATCGTCTGATGGTCTACATTGTATCGTTTGATGGTCTACATTGTATCATCTGATGGTTTACATTGTATCATCTGATGGTTTACATTGTATCACCTGATGGTCTACATTGTATCATCTGATGGTCAAAATTGTATCATCTGATGGTTTACATATTGTCATCTGATGGTCTACATTGTATCATCTGATGGTCTAAATTGTATCATCTGATGGTCTACATTGTATCATCTGATGGTCAAAAATTGTATCATCTGATGGTTTACATATTGTCATCTGATGGTCTACATTGTATCATCTGATGGTCTAAATTGTGTCATCTGATGGTCTACATTGTGTCGTCTGATGGTCTACATTGTGTCGTCTGATGGTCTAAATTGTATCGTCTGATGGTCTACATTGTATCGTCTGATGGTCTAAATTGTATCGTCTGATGGTCTAAATTGTATCGTCTGATGGTCTAAATTGTATCGTCTGATGGTCTAAATTGTATCATCTGATGGTCTACATATTGTCATCTGATGGTTTACATTGTATCATCTGATGGTGTACATCGAATCCTCTGATGGTCTACATTGTATCATCTGATGTTTCTTTTTTGTATCATCTGATGGTCTACATTGTATCATCTGATGGTCTACATATTGTCATCTGATGGTTTTTACATTGTATCATCTGATGTTTCTACATCGAATCCTCTGATGGTCTACATTGTATCATCTGATGTTCTACTTTGTTTAGGGTCTATCAAAGCATAATGTTCACTAATATCTTGTTATTAGACTGGCATTAAGGGAGTATCTGCTAAAGCATAATATAAAAACGTTGCCACCCCTTCAGCACACCCCTCAGACACTATGATTGGTTTGTGTTATGTCTCTCCAAGAACCAGCATTTTCAGTTCTGTTTCTCTTGCTTACCATCGGAGCTAAGAAGGAATGCTGAGAGTCAAGAGAGCGAGTTAATCTGATATATCAGATTGTAGATTTCAAATATTGGACCCTGCAAGGATACAAAGGTCAGGCAAACTTTGCTAATTCCTTTTCACTTTTTTTTTAATGCTGTTTTATTTACTGTTACCAATTTTCTGGAATAGTCTTTTTTTGCACGTTTTCTCACACCAATTATTCCTTTCCTTCATTAACACTATACTTTGTTAATTGTTAGGTTGAAACCCGTGAATGCTCTAATCAAAAATTAAAAGAACTTTTTGTCTATTTGAAGAAAGCCACCCTTTTGGTAACTCCGTTACGTTCCTGACAGGGTGTGGCAGCGAATGATACAGACCTTGCTTTTAACCGCTTGCCCGCCGCCCTATAATAGCAACACTCCTACAGGTGGCAGGGCTGCGCAAGATCACGTATACAGTTGCAAGAAAAAGTATGTGAACCCCTTGGGATTACGTGGAGTTTTGCATGAATTGGGCATAAAATGTGCTCTGAACGTCATCTAAGTCACAACAATAGAAGAACACAGTCTGCTGAACATAATACTACACAAACATTAGATGTTGCCATGGTTTAATTGCACATAACATGTAAACATTCACAGTGCAGGGAGGAAAAAGTATGTGAACCTTTGGACTTAGTAACTGGTTGACCCTCCTTTGGCAGCAATAACCTCAACCAAACATTTCCTGTAGTTGCAGATCAGACCTGCACAACGATCTGGAGTCATTTTGGACCACTCCTCTTCACAAAACTGTTTCAGTGTAGCAATATTCTTGGGATGTCTGGTGTGAATCGCTCTCTTAAGGTCATACCACAGCAT